CTGGTCTCTCCATCACCCCAGAACTAAAACAATTTCCGAGGCCAACTCTTCAGACAGGGATTGGACTGGACTGTGGGACATAAAGTGACACTCGTGAAGAATGTGCCTTTTAGACAAGCAGATATAAGAGACCAAAGGGGCGGCTTCTGTCCAGAGGTGAGAAGGGAAGGCAGAGAGAGTTAGGAGCTGGTTGAATGTTCACGGGGAATCGGGGTGGAGGGGAGGAGTGTGCTGTCGCAGAATGGGGTGAGCGGTTGGGGTCTCGTAACAATGTATGTTTAAAAAAAAAATTCTGTATAGGAGACTAACTTGAAATATAAACTTCATTTAATTACATCAATTAAAAAAAAAGAAAAAAGAAACAATAAACATTTGTTTAGTTGTATTTTGTGCTTGCTTGGTGCTGAATCCGATGTGACTTGTCCATGGGTTTCTTTCTATTACTGTTTCCTAGCCTCATTAGTTCTGTTCAAACACTCTTGGCAATGCTTGATTTTTCATTATTTTGCAATAACAAAAACTGAACTGACCAAATAATGGCACAAATGATTTTCTTCTGAAAAAGCAGAAAATAAGAGTGTTGGAAACATTTGATCAAAACGTTTAAAAGGACATTCAGAAAAGAGCATTGCTTAAGAACATCTCCAAGCCGTAAATATTTTTTTTTAATTGATATAAAAAGAGAATATAACAGTAGATTTTTTTGGGGGGAGGCAAACACAATAATTAATGTAAATTAATCTACTTTATTTTAGTATGTCAAACTATATCCTTGAAAATGACCATTTTCTTTTTTCTTTTTTTGAAAATGAAGTTCATAGTCAATTTATTTTATTCAAAACTAAATTTTAAGTGATCTCAAACTTTATTAAAATCCCTTGGTCTATGTAATAAATCTACTCCACTCTCATTTTCTAACCACTTCTTTTCCGATAAAGAAACTTTGAAGATTTTTCTTATATCAAAATAGAGGAAAAACCAAAGAGAACATTGAGGATAACTAAGGGACTTCAACACTTTCATCTTTTCTGGCTAAAAAGAAAAAAAAAAAAAGTTTTACAAGGCTTTTTTATAAAGATACGAAGACACGGAACTCACAGGAGGCATTAAACATGTAGGCTGAACCAAAAATCATGCTCTTCCTACCTCTGCTTAGAGAAAAGTCAAATATTCTGCCTCAAGTTCCATGTCTCTCTTAGCTGAAATGACAACAGGTGGTTCAACCACAATTGGAATAGTGCTGAGTTCCAAGGAAATATTTGGAATTCATGTGCTATGTTTATTTAACTTTAAGAGATCCCATTAGCTATATGTTCATCATTGCTCTCCTTAAAAACTGCATACAAGACAATTTTTAACAAAGGTGTGTGTGTGTGTATATGTGTGTGTGTTATTTGTGGAAGAAAGATTTATTGGCAGCCAAGGGCTATAAACAATAACTGCAGGCAACTCGTACACTATGCATGCTACTTGTGCTGTTCTGTCTCAATCTCTTTCTTTGTCTCTCTCTCTCTCACACACCCCACATGCATTTAGTCCTTACCACAACCCTACTATAATTCCCATTTTACAGCTGAGGAAACTGAGGCACAAATTCAGTGAGCTACCCAACATCTCACAGCTGATCGGTGTTAAGGGCTTAATGAATTATCCTATTAAGAACTTTTTGTTCACTATGTTATATGTCTAGCTTTTTTCAAGAGTCCAATGAGTTTTGATCACTGTTGGGAATCAGGTTTGTTTCTAAAATTTTTAGGTCTGAGGTTTCTGAAACACTGGGTCAGTTTAAATCACCTAACCAGGTTATCTTTGGAAAAAACCATGACCGGGTATCATTTCGATTCCCTCAAGTTATTGCTTATAACAGTTACAGTTTCCCAAGACAAGCTTAAGTTGAATTGATTCAGACTGTAATGAATAATTACAGGTAAAAATAGCCTAGTGTTAGGAATATGTTAGGAATCATCCATTTCCTTTTTAGGGTTCTGTATTTTATTCAGAATATGTAAAAGTACTGGCTCGTTTTAGCCTATTTAGCAGCTGAGAGCACTCATGTTGATTATTATGGCACAATTTAGAACTCAATTCATGGTAAAATGGAAAAGTGTGCAGTTTCCTAAGATTCTTAAGTAAAAATTCCATGGGAATGTGACATAAGGAAATTGCTGCTCCCAGAATTTCTGCCTAGAATATTCAAATTATTCCCAACTCCCTATTCCTGCAGTACCCTAGTTAACTCATACGACATTACCTGTTAAGACCCAGACCAAGTATTGCCTTTTGTGTAAAGATCTTACTCCTCCAGGAAGAGTTATTCTTCCCTCTTGCTTCCATAATACTTTGCACAGACCTCTTCTACTTTAACACTTTATAAAGGATGTCTAAGAGAAATCAAACTATCATGACCCTGTCACTTTCTTCTGTATAGCTCCGATGCCTGGTGGAGTACCTGATGTTGCTGTTGTGTGCCTTGAGTTGATTATGACACATAGCGACCCTATATGGTAGAGTAGAACTGCCCCATAGGGTTGCTAGGCTGTAATCTTTACAGGAGCAGATCACCAGGTATTTTCTCCCATGGAGCGACTGGTGGGTTCAAACTACTGACCTTTCAATTAACAGCCTCATGCTTAACTGTTGCGCCACCAGGACTCCTCTGGTACCTAACAGCTGAATGCTACTGAATGGCAGTCTTCATCTGCCAGATTCTAGCTTTAGTCAAAGACACAGGTATTTTTTTCCATGTACAATATAGAAGTCTCACACAATCTTAAAACTTAATCGCTTAGGACACCAATGGATAAACAACAGCCATTCTCTTCAGATTTTATGACTTACCTTACTTGACTTGTGGTCCACATTAAAAGTGGCAATTGCATCCTCTGTTTTTTTTCTCCCAGATTTGGTTATTACATATTCAGCAAGTTTGTTTGCTAAATAGGTCTTTCCAGTACCACTTGGTCCTGAGAGTATGATTCTATGATGCTCCATCAACAAGTTAAAGTACCTTTGCGTAATTGGTTTAGGAATCAGTGTATCAAAAACAAAACTATCCAGACTGTTTTCTTCTACCCCTGAAGGAAAAAACAAAAGGAAGAGCATGACTTATGTCCTACATAAGCTAGAATTTAAAATACAGTATCAACTGACAACAGAGCTAAGTTAGTAGTCCTTGCAAAATACTTTCCTTGATGTTTCTAAATCATAAAGATGCGTTGCCATTTTAAGTCAGAAAACATCAGTAATAAGGCAGAGTGAACATACAAACTAAAGCAAGCTGTTTCTTTTTGCTCAGGCTTCCCTGTACTTTATGTTTTTTTACTTATGTTTCCAGAGACATATTCCATTATTATAAATTCTATTATCAACACTTGTATCCCTTTGAAGATGGTAGTTTTGTTAAGAATAAATGTGAAGATTATAAATTGTATATATACATAAACATGTGTATGTATGTGTGTATATATATGTGTATGTATACGTGTATTTCTTACTCTTTTCCCCTTCTATTTATTTCTATATCTCATTCAACCTCCCAGCTGTACAATCACTTAAGCTTTCGAAGAATATGAATTGTGATGTTTGGGAAGGAATTAGGAAGGAGAGTAACAGTATCTCCTTTTACTAATCCAATTACCATACTCATAAAATCAAATATTAACAAATTCCTCTATTAACCCACAGTTTATATAGATGTGTTCTGACTCTTTAATATATATGATACATGAACACAAAATTATTGAGTAAAGTATACCTCAGTTATAACAACAAGAACAACAATAATTTATCACATCATCCAAAGCAAAGAAGACAGAATTTCTCATCCCTGGTTCTTACCTTCGATTCTCCATTCCCAAGGGGTATTCACTGGGGACATACAGTTTAAAATCAAAGAAGTAGCAACAAATATATTGCTTTGGAATACACAATAAAATTTTGAATCCTCCCTAAACGTAAAATGCTAGTGGAGAAAACCTAGAAGTTGCAAATTGTTTAAATGACATCCTTTTTTGTGAGTCTTGGGGAATCTTAAAAATTACCTTCCAAGTTTTTTATCTCAGGACTCGAAGAATCTCATTTACTGGAATTTTAGTGTTTTAAAAGGATTTTAGTGTTTTTTTTAAAAAGTCAGTATGACTCATTTCATACCAAAACTATTCAAGAGTGATTAACACAACTTTCATATATGAAAATTTGAAGGGAAACTGCAAAAAAAAGAGAAACGTTAGAAAAAAACACAATTTCTTTTCTTTTTTCTTTTTACCTTTCAGGTTCACAGTGATGATGTTGTTGTCTCCAACAAGATATCCACAAGGCAGCAGTTCAGGCACTTCTAGGCTATGGGATCTAATTAAATCTCCTATACAGTAGCTAGCAATGCAGTCAGAGCTCAGACCAAGGCTTGTGGATGTATCAATTCGGAACACATATTCCTAAAATGGTACGCACAAAAAGGAAAGTCAAAACAGCAGTTCAACTTATCTGCAACAAATAAAAAAACCCTGGAGATACAAGACTAGCTGTCAGGAATTTTAAAAAATGGATAATATAAGAACTGTTTTATCAAACAGCACAAGGAAAAAAAGCTTTCCTTAACATTTGAAACAGAGGAGAAGAAAAGCAGATGTGTCTAAGCTAGGAAAGCCAAAGGAAACTCTGCAATGAAATATATTTGAACATTAATATCAGGTCATACGGTACAACTTACCTTAAAGAGACGTCTAATTACACCATCTAAGACATCCCACTTGGTTTTTCCACTAACGCCAATGGACCCTATCAAATATGCCTGAGACTTCTGATCCTAAATAAGAACACACACACAAAAAAAAGATAAAATCCAACTGTGTATCTAGTTTTATTACTACATTTTCTACTAAAACTTATTAACGTAGTGATTAAGAGTAAAATACTAAGCCTGTGGGCTGTATAGTAAGCACACACATGACCGATTAAATAAAATACCTCAACAAACCAACCAACCAACCAAAAAAGTAACAGTAACAACACTAATAAGAAAAAAGAGATTAGACAAAGTAGTATATTAAAGAAAACTGATCCATGAAGTTGATCAGCAGACTGAAAGAGGAAAGGAACAAGAAAGAATAGTTTTCCATTTTAATGCAGTGGGTGCATTTCTGAAGAGAGGCAGGCTGGTAGAACGGAAATGGTGATAAGAGATGAAGCAGAACTAAATTACTTGAGTCCTAGAACTTCAGCCTACTATTTTACGATCTTATCTTTGATAAGTCTCAGATTCAGTTTTCTCATTTATTAATTTAGATTATTTCTAAAAAACAATCCAGCTTTAAAAAAACAATAAATTATCCACGGTTGTATAACACTTACATATTTATAAAACAGTTCCCATTTTCAATTTATCAGAACATTCATTGCTAAAAGAACTTATCAGGAAATCTATAGGACTCATTTTGTCAAGCACAGCATTCATTTACAATAAAAATAATGGCCCCAAGTTTATCTTTTTCTGTAAGATGATATTTTCAGAAGTTTCTACGTATATTTGAAAAGTAAATAATTCAGGTTTTATAGTCTAACTGGAGCCTCTTTTATGACAACTGGAAATGGTTACATGGAATAGGGGTCATGAGTCGATTCCAATTCATAGTGATCCTATAGGACAGAGAAAAACTGTCCCATACAGTTTCCAAGGAGCAGCTGGTAGATTCGAACTGCCGACATTTTGGTTAGTGGCCGATCTCAACCACTGCATCACGAGGGCTCCAAGATAACATTAGATAAAATTAAATAGTTGATATAATACATTCCTGATTCCAGTCACCACCTACATGGGCTTTAAGGGATGGTAGAATAATCACTGGCTCAAATGTTAGAAGATATAGATTCTACAACATACAACCCCTACCAGCTAATTATGTTAGGTAAGTCAATTAGCTAACTCAGAATCTCAATTTCTTCTCTATAATATTTAACCCTGTAAGTGTAAATTATTATTGCCATCATTATTTATACATTACTTGAGTTAGAAGCCAGTGTGTTTTTCAGAAAAAGTTGAGAAATTTACAGCCAAACCAGTGTGCATGTGTGTGTTTTAATTATTTTCTTAGAAGAATTATTAGAAAAAAAGTTCAAAGACATTGTCTTTTAAAATTATTTTGAAAGAGAAAGCTTGTTTTCCAGTGTGAGTATAACGCAGTTAAAATGGATACTTAAACAATACACTATAAGCAGTTGCTTTTAAATTAGAGATGGTTCAGGCTTCAGTGAGACTATTACAGACTCTCACATAAAGACCCACTTGGGAAGAGCAGGCATAAGTCTGCAGCTCGAGCAGAAAGTTTATGGCATTAGAATCCTTAGAACATTTGCTCAGTGTAAAAATTCACAAGTGCTATCTCAAATGGTTTTCAAATCTAAATACTTTAATTACTCTAAAATTCTAAAGAAGTTTCTTTTATTTGATAGGAAAAAACAAAGGATACTTACAAATTTGTATCCTTGGCCATTCAACTAAAAATTCAGCTTAAAAAAATATTTTTAGTTTCAAAGAAGGGATAGATTCAGAATGGTATTACCAATTTGAAAGCAATATTTAATTCTGGAAAAATTAAAATGTTTAAAAATGATACAGAAAAGTAGCTTCAATGGGTATTGTCAGTAGAAAACGTGTCTTCCTGGTGTCTAGAATATTCACAGTTTATACTTTTTCTTTTGTATAAAGACCAGATTGACAGCTCTAGCAACATGTTAATACACATCATAAACATTACATATAATCTACAAGTAATACTGAAAGACAATATTAGACAAGATGCTTATATAAAGCAATTTTTTTTAACGTTGTGGAAGCTAAGGAGATATGGGGTTGACAATCAATATTGTTTTCAGAGAATGAACACAAGGTACATATGAGACACATTTCTGTTTATATGATGATGTCTTTAGTGTCCTTAACTTTCATGCTTGTATAACATATTAAGCTAATGCCAATGCAAACATCTTTGTTAGTATACATCCCAAATATTCAAATATAAAATACATTTGACTGATAGTAATTCTCAGCCTTTAATAATAAAAAACTTAAGATTAAAGAAATACCTTTGCTTGACCATAGCCCTTGCTTATGGAGACTATAATTTTCACGCTGCGGCCATCTTTATGTCCAGTTGCATCACCAGCATCATCTAGTAAAATATCTATCAAAATTTAAAAAAGAAATACACACACACACACACAACAGAGTAACATAAGCTTTTTTTTTTTTTTTAACCATCACCGTTTTCTCCTTCAAAGTATTGTTTCTTTCAATGGGAATATTTAGCCTTTTTGTTTCCCATTCTAAACTAACTGATTTGAAATCTCAGACTTTCAAGAAGATCAGTTACTATACCTGTATTAAAGTTTCAATCTAAGAATTTATTTCTACTTCCAACCATCTTCACCCAACCGTTAGGCCATTGCCTTTCGATGAGGAAGTAACGGTTTTGTTTTGTTTTTTCCTATTACACACAGGTCTGAGTAATAACTGAGTAATATTCAGTCAGAGTTATAACTGTGACAAAACAAAAAGCAATCTGGTTTTTCTATTCAACCTAAAATATCCGAGCTCAATAGCCATGTAATTTATGCATGCAAAGGTACTGAGATTGACTGTCAGCTCAAATTATTTTTAAGCACTTGGCACATATCCAGTTACATTATTGCTTACCTTATACCTATAAATATTAGGTACTGTTGTTGAATTTCAACCATGGCATTGTACTTCCCTACAGAAGTACATTATCACTCTACTGTACCTGTATGCTTATAGATGCAAAATCAAAATAGTATTTCTATAATCAGCTAAGAATTACAGAAGCATGACAAAGCTAGCTAATCTTTAAAGTACCGATCTTTAAATAAGACTAAAAATTAATTTTCAAAATATATTATATCACATTAATGTCCAATTGGGGGAATTATTAAGGCAAAGTATACATATAAAGTATATATATTTTCCTTTGACAATGATGTTATTATAGAGTCATGCTTAATACTAAGATAATGTTCTGTGGACAAAGGAAACTCAGTTATGGAAAGTACATATATATGATAAAGGGAGGAATCAGTTGCTCTGACAAGACCTATGACTGTAACATCATAGAACCTGTTGCCGTTGCCATTGAGTCAATTCCAACTCATAGTGACACTATAAGACAGAGTAGAACTACCCCATAGGGTTTACCACCACAGTACAGAAACAGATTGCCACATCTTTCTTCTGAGAAGTGGCTGGTGGATTCAAACTGCCCATGTTTTGGTTAGCAGCCGAGCACTTTCACCACTGTGCCACCAAGGCTTATCATCATGGAAAGAACAATTTAATAGAATTGCTTCTGAAAATAGAATGGTATCTATTATCTTAACAATTAAAAATATAGAATTTTGAAAAAGAGTAAAATACTGCTTTACAAATAAACATTCAAAAAACAACTTTTAGAGCTTGAGGAGCATGGAAATTTTGGCTAGAAAATTTTATTTTCTATTTTGCTGGAATTTAATCATGTGATCAGGTTAGCATTCTTACAGTATCCCTCCTTTTTGCTTATCCCACTCAAAAGTTAGTCTTCTTTAAATACCACTTTAACTCTATGACTCTTTCCCTCAAAAGTTTTGAGTGGCTCACCATTGCTGTTCACATCTACACATTCTGTAGTTTACAGCCAAATAACATCTTGATTGCTTTTCTCAATTTCCATGAATGTTCATAAATATTTAACTAATATTTATTAAAAATGATAATAATAAAAATAACTGATATTAGGAACTGTTCCGGGTATTGACAGTGAATACCAAAGTGAGAAGGAAAATGAGTTCCCTGCTCTTTTGGAGTATACATTCTAAAAAGGTAATTTCAGAATGTGTTAAGTGCTATTCAAGAAATAAACAGGACAGGGAAACACAGAGTAAGTGAAGAGAGCCTGGTCTAGATAGGTAAATGGCTCTAAAAGGCTTCCTTGAAGAGGTGACTTTTGGAGTAAGATCGGAAGGCTGAGAAAGAACTAGGCATGTGAAGAGCCAAGGAAAGAGAGGTTCAGTCAACAAGACAAGTTCAAAAGCCTTGATGTAGGAGCTGTTTATGCTGAAGGAACAGATACGAATCAGGGTATTGGGAGTGTGGAGACCAAAGGGGAGAGCATTATGAAATGATGTTGAAGCGGATAAGGGTCAGAGCATATACAGCCTAGTAGTCCATGTTAAGGTGTTTAATCTGATTCCTGAACCACATATCTATTTAAGTTCGCCCTGGAACATTCTATTTACTTCATGTCCCTCTTACTCTTGACCTCACATATCTGTCAGTTTGTCGTACTGTGGGAGCTTGCGTGTTGCTGGGATGCTGAAAGCTATGCCACCGGTATTCAAATACCAGGAGGGTCACCCATGGTGGACAGGTTTCAGCTGAGCTTCCAGACTAAGACAGAGTAGGAAGAAGGACTTGGCAGTCTACTTCTGAAAAAAATTAACCAGTGAAAACCTTATGAATAGCAGTGGAACATTGTCTGATATAGTGCTAGAAGATGAGTCCATCGGGTTGGAAGGCACTCAAAATATGACTGGGGAAGAGCTGCGTCCTCAAAGTAGAGTCAACCTTAATGATGTGGATGGAGTCAAGCTTTTGGGACCTTTATGTGCTAATGTGGCATGACTCAAAATGAGAAGAAACAGCTGCAGACATCCATTAATAACTGGAACGCAGAATGTACGAAGTATGAATCTAGGAAAATTGGAAGTCATCAAAAATGAAATGGAACACATAAAGATCAATATCCTAGGCATTAGTGATCTGAAATGGACTGGTATTGGCCATTTTGAATCAGATAATCATATAGTTTACTATGCTGGGAATGATAAATTGAAGAGGAATGGCGTTGCATTTATCATCGAAAAGAACACTTCGAGATCCAACCTGAAGTACAACGCTGTCAGTGATATGAAAATACCCATATGCCTACAAGGAAGACCAGTTAATATGACTATTCAAATTTACGCACAAACCACTAAGGCCAAACATGAAGAAACTGAAGGTTTTTTACCAACTTCTGCAGTCTGAAATTGATCAAACATGCAATCAAGATGCATTGATAATTACTGGCGATTGGAATGCAAAAGTTGGAAACAAAGAAGAAGGATCTGTAGTTGGAAAACATGGCCTTAGTAGTAGAAATGATGCCAGAGACCAAATGATAGAATTTTGCAAGACCAATGACTTCTTCATTGCAAATACTCTTTTTCACCAACATAAATGGCAACTATACACGTGGACCTTGCCAGATGGAATACACAGGAATCAAATCGACTACATCTGTGGAAAGAGACAATGGAAAAGCTTAATATCATCAGTCAGAACAAGGCCAGGGGCCCACTGTGGAACAGACTACCAATTGCTCATATGCAAGTTCAAGCTGAAGTCGAAGAAAATTAGAACAAGTCCATGAGAGCCAAAGTACAACCTGCAGTATATCCCAACTGATTTTAGAGACCATCTCAAGAATACATTTGATGCATTGAACACTAATGACTAAAGATCAGGCGAGTTGTGGAATGATATCAAGGTCATTATACATGAAGAAAGCAAGAAATCATTAAAAAGACAGGAAAGAAAGAAAAGACCAAGATGGATGTCAAAAGAGACTTTGAAACTTGCTCTTGAACATGGAGTAGCTAAAGCGAAAGGAAGAAATGATGAAGTAAAAGAGCTGAACAGAAGATTTCAAAGGGCAGCTCGAGAAGACAAAGTAAAATATTACAAGGAAATGTGCAAAGACCTAGAGTTAGAAAACCAAAAGGGAAGAACATGCTCAGAATTTCTCAAGCTGAAAGAACCAAAGCAAAAAATTCAAGTCTCAAGCTGCAATATTGAAGGATTTTATGGGCAAAATACTGAATGACCCAGGAAGCATGAAAAGTAGATGGAAGGAATATACAGGGTCACTGTATCAAAAAGAATTGGTCAACTTTCAATCATTTCCGGAGGTAGCATATGATCAAGAACTGATAATACTAAAGGAAAAAGTCCAAGCTGCACTGAAGACACTGGTGAAAAACAAGGCTCCAGGAATTGACGGGACACCAATTGAGATGTTTCAACAAACGGATGTAGCGCTGGAAGTGCTCACTCATCTATACCAAGAATTTTGGAAGACAGCTACCTGGCCAACCGACTGGAAGAGATCCATTTTTATGTTTATTCCAAAGAAAGGTGATCCAACAGAACGAGGAAATTATTGAACATTTATCATTACTATCACTTGCAAGTAAAATTTTGCTGAAGATCATTCAAAAGTGGTTGCAGCAGTACATCAACAGGGAACTGCCAGAAATTAAAGCCAGATTCAGAAGAGGACTAGAACAAGGAATATCATTGCTGATGTCAGACAGATCTTGGCTGAAAGCAGAGAATACTAGAAAGATGTTTACCTGTGTTTTATTGACTTTGCAAAGGCATTCGACTATGTGGATCATCACGAATTATGGATAACATTGCGAAGAATGGGAATTCCAGAACACTTAATGTGCTCATGAGGAAACTGTACATAAATCAAGAGGCAGTCGGACAAACAGAACAAGGGGATACTGCGTGGTTTAAAGTCAGGAAAGGTGTGCGTCAGGGTTACCATACTTATTCAGTCTGTATGCTGAGCAAATAACCCGAGAAGTTGGACTATATGAAGAAGACCGGGTCATCAGGATTGGAGGAAGACTCACTAACAACCTTCTTTATGCAGATGACACAACCTTGCTTGCTGAAAGTGAAGAGGACTCGAAGCACTTACTGATGAAGATCAAAGACCACAGCCTTCAGTATGGATTACACCTCAACATAAAGAAAACAAAAATCCTCACAACTGGACCAATAAGCAACATCACGGTAAATGGAAAAAAGATCGAAGTTGTCAAGGATTTCATTTTACTTTGATCCACAATCAACACCCATGGAAGCAGCAGTCAAGAAATCAAAAGATGCGTTGCATCAGGCAAATCTGCTGCAAAAGACCTCTTTAAAGTGTTCCAAAGCAAAGATGTCACTTTGAGGAGCAGGGCTGCTTCTGACCCAAGCCATGGTATTTTCAATCACCTCGTATGCATGTGAAAGTTGCATAAAGAATAAGGAAGACCGAAGAAGAATTGATGTCTTTGAATTATAGTGTTGGCAAAAAATATTGACTATACCATGGACTGCCAAAAGAACAAACAAATCTATCTTGGAAGAAGTACAGCCAGAATGCTCCTTAGAGGCAAGGATGGCGAGACTTCATCTCATATACTTTGGACATGTTATCAGAAGGGACCAGTCCTGGAGAAGGACTTCATGCTTGGTAAAGCAGAAGTTAAGTGAAAACAAGGAAGACACTCAACAAAATGGATTGAGACAGTGGCTGCAACAATGGGCTCAAGCATAACGATTATGAAGATGGTGTAGAACCAGGCAGTATTTTGTTCGGTTGTACATAGGGTTGCTATGAGTCAGAATCCACTCAAAGGCACCTAACAACAACAACTTACTCTTGAAAACTATGCTTAAAATAGAAATTTTTCCTCACAGAAGTACAGTAAATATTTGCCAATAAATAAGTGAATGACTACCGTTGGCTTTTATGTATGTGGCTACTTAAGGCTAAATTGATGTAGTGGATAAAAGGTCAGTTACTGATTTATCCAGTCCTGGGTTGAGTACTAGCTCTTCCACTGACTGTTACATGATATTATATAAATTATTATAGTTATTTTCCTAAGTCTTGGTTTTTTCATCTCTAAAATGGGGGTCTAGAACACCTCCTTCCTAGGATTATTTGAAACAGTAAAAGAGATAATGCTTTTAAAGCACTTTCTTCAGTATTTAGTTTGTTTAGCTGTTCTGCTCATTACTCCTTTTCTCTGTGTGTTTATATTAACTTCTGCTATCGACAGTGGGAAGATCACATCATGAATCACTCTGGGCCTCCACCTATTGACATTATATTGATAGGAGTGATGGTCACTCAAAGAAGCAACTTCAGGCAAAAACAAAAGGTATGAGGTGAGGGTCATTTTTTTTTAATGGAAAGTAAGTTATGGTCTTTTGACAACATTTTAGAGGAAAAATAAAAAATCTGCCATTCGCTTTTCAAACTTCTGTCTTTATTGGATGTATGGAATATCTGTTATATTTTAAGAATGGGACAATTGTCAGTTATGCTCTCTCCCTTGTACTTCTTTCCTTTATTAATCACGAACCCTAGAAAGCTTCCCTGTTAAAAATCTCCAGCTTAAAACATATCTGACTTACAAAATTTTAACCCACTAAATAAGAGTGAATGAAAACAGTATCCTAGTCATCTGATTTATTTTTGTTTTCTTAGTTCAGACATCAGTACTAATATTGGGATGTAATCAAGGAAAGGATATAGGAATAAAAATTAATGATGAAATGAGAAATTTAAAAAATATTTTTGAAAAAAATTATCTGAAAAATTGTCTTCTTCCCTTAAAAATTGGCACAAATTCTCCATTACAGCTATTGAATGCGGTTAAGTCTGATGAACACAAAAATTGTAAAATTAATTCCCTTGATACTATATAATTTCTAGTCTTTCCTAATCATTTATTTGTTTTGTTTCTATATGTTTGTTGTTTCTACATTACTTTAGTATCTATCTTGCCTCCCCCAAGCCTAATATTCACATAGAGAATAAAACAAAATCATGTAGCACAGGCAGTGAAATCTTGCATTTTCAAGTGGTGTTTTAAACCATCCTGTAAAGTACGGTCCCAGGTCTTTCTTAGCAGTCAAGATGGGAACACAGATGTGCACTGGTAGCCAGTAGGTATGGAAACTACTTCACTTCTCTGCCAGGTTCATCCCCAAGGAGCAGCACTCAGGATATTTCTCAGAACCCTCAGATTCTATACATCTCAATTTTTTTTTTTTTAAAGTATCTTTTCAGAAGTTTGGATAATAATACTTGACATAAAATTTACACAATAAAGCTATTACCATTTATCTCCACAGTCTTTTTTTTACCTCATAATCTGTAAGTTCATTTAATTCTGAAATATCTGTTCTTTCTTAGCCAATGACATTAGTTTTACTGGCTGCTTATTCCCAAAATTTATTTCCTTCCTCAAATCACTCCCTGAAGCCCTACCTGCATCTTCAAGTTTTCCTGAATTACGTATGATTAATTCTCATTTGCCTTTAAGGCATAAGATGAAGGCAAGCATATATTTGGGTCTTTCGTTTTGCATTTTGAAGGGAAGATGTAATAATAGAATTTAAAGAAAATGTTCATAATTTTTGCTTGTGTTTTTGTAAAACTAGATCAATAATTAGAGCATAAAAATTTGGACTTTTCAGAAACAAACGTGATTCAGTGAAAATGTAATCAATATCAGCATGCTGTGTAATTTAGTTGTCTTCTCGTTCTTCTTCCCCTTCTTCTAGATTTAGTGTAATTCAAGGCAAGCAGTGATGAATCTCAATTCTGTAATAGAATCTAGTTACCCTGGAACGTATATATTTTTTGGTTTCCAAGCGTCATCTGGTGGTTATGCCTTGTAATTACCTCAGATCATCATTTAAAGCTTTCCTAAATAAATCCTATACACAAGATGATTCAGTACCAAATTTAATTAGCTATTAAGATGAAATTATGTCACGTGATTCTATTTGCAATGGGATCAAAACCATACCCATGTTCCATCATTAGTACCTGTGAATACAATAACAGAAACTGCTATGCTGGTTTTGTTTGTTTGTTGAAAATTTAATAGAGTTGGGTCATGTAGGTGTCTCTGGGGAACACCATGCAGGATCATACAGGCTAATTTAGAAACGGGTCCTGATATACTTGTAAATGAAATTTATGCATTTAAAATGTTATATATCTCATGGGGTTATTATTATTATATTCATGAGTACTAATGATTATCACTGAGACTATCATTTCTTCATTCTAAATTAAGGAGGAAGTATATTCCCAAGCACAGGTGATTTTAAGAACACGATTAGGGAAATTCTATCTCTAAGACTTCACCCTTTCACAGAAAATGTCCTTTTAAAACTACAACTATGTGGGATACATTTATAAGAGAAAAATAGGACTATTTCTGAGAAATAGTGTGTTAACATTTTAAGAGGATGTGGGAGAGAACGGTGGTACATAAGCTCCTCAAAATTCCAGGCTGTTCCCACTGTTAAGTCACAGGCATGCTTTGGTTCAGGCAGGAATGTGCACAAAATCACCTGAGGTAACCGACTCCGTGATGTTCAAATTGTTTAGAGAGAGTCCTAATGACTTCCGTGAAGATGAAGAGGAGGTGCTGCTTGAGGATTCTGACGGTGGCCGAGCAGGCTTAGCTGTATTACCAGTTTCTGCCTTCAATCGGTCATTTTCAGCCTTCAGAATTTCAATTTCATTCTGTTGTGAAGATGGAAAATATGGGAAAAAAAAATTAGTTAATTAAATAAAGCATGTGTTAATATGTTAAATGAACAAATGTATATTAATAAAACAAGATTTTCTTTGAAAGGAGAAAAAACTAACTTTTTCTGTTTCTCACATATATGTATATGTATTCACAAATATAGAAACACTATCCATTATATTTTTTTATTATTATTTCTTGAATATCTCCTACACTTGCGGAGTCTTCCAGGACTCAGTCTGATTTGCATTAAGAATAACATAATTGAATAATTCATAACATTTCTCATTTTAAAAGGAATGTTAAAATTCCGTAGACAAATAACATAATGTCATTTGTAATACTCTGAGTTCACGTAGAGTTGAAAAACACAGTAAGTCAAAAACAATATAATAAGTTGATTTAAAATTACTTCAGAACCCTAGCTAACATCTAGAAAAGTTTTTGTTCCTTCAAAATGGGGCACTAAGCTCATAAAAAGAACAAAAGCCTTTTGATGAATATATACAGTGGCAGAAGAATCTGCTCAATAATGAGCTTTTCTTATTTCAGTCTTCTGTGGTACCAAGTGATTACTGGTTTACAATAATAAAATGAAAATTTAGGCTGAGTACAGACTGGCTCTGAATTTAGCCCTCAGATGCTTCTGTGAAATACAAAAGCTTTACTTCTACAGATGGCATCCTACATCACTCTTACTTCCAGATTCAGAAACCTGTGTTAACTTTTTGTAGTTTCCTCATTACTGTTGTTTTTGAAAAGAAAATAGGTAAAGGTATTTGAAAGTCAAATTTCAGAAGAACAGAAAGAAGCCAACATAAAGGGAAAAACCTGTTGTTGTGGAGTCGATTCCCCCTCAGAGCGACCCTATAGGACAGAGTAGAATTGCCTCATAGGGTTTTCAAGGAGCAGCTGGTGGATTCAAACTGCTGACCTTTTGGTTAGCAGCCAAACTCTTAACCACTATGCCCCCAGGGCTTCAACATAAAGGTAAATCATTCAAAAGTGAAAGAGCAAGAATTATATTAGTTTCTTTAAAAATTTAGCTCTCAATCTGAATCCAATCATAAGTACAAGTGTCTCAAATGGTCCTAGAGTGCAACTGCCCAGTTTACACTCTTTCTTGCAGCCCTGGATTGACAAAACTCTGCATCCGTATTGAGTAAGAAACAAGTTGTAAAGATTTAATAAACAGAGCACGTTTCCACAGTGGCTTTAGAAGCAGGAACTTTTTAATAACAGCCATGAGCAGGAAATAAGCAGCCTCTTTATCTCCCCTGCGTTTTCCTTGTAGGTGTTTCAGCACTGACCTGCATGCGGTTCATGGCTTCCCGGATCTGGTCAAGGTGATGGGCAGAGCTGAGAGCCTCCAGACGAATGTCTGTTAACTTTAATTCCTTTTCTCTGAGCTCACTCTTCAGCTGCAGAATTATCTCTGCCTCAGCTTCTGTGCATTCACAGATCCTGAAGAAGGAAAAGAACATAAAACCAGTGGTCGAGGAAAGTTAGAGGATTACGAAAGTAATGTCTCTTCTGAAGGCTGGTCTGCATTGTTATCCAGCAGGTACAGAAATTATTTGCTGCTGGCAAAATGTAGGGACATGGAGAAAGAGTTTTACAAACAATAACATATTCATAGGTTCGAAACTGAAAATAGTAGCTGTCTTTTTCTTTTGATCTTTCCTTCCTATTTTTTGAAGTTTGAAAATACTATTACTGGATATAAAATGACCCTCAAAATTCCCTTATTTATGATATATAGATACATAGGGCTGAAGAATCATAGACTTAGTACATTTCCTTCCATCCTTTTTCAATGACCTTAAATACTCATTTGCAACATACAAAATGGTATCTTTTTTTTAAAAAAGCAAAAAAAAAAAAACCCTTATTTTCTTCTTTTGTAAAATTGTGCAAGGAATGACCTTATTTGGCTGCCACAACACCTTCTTCCAGCTACCATGGAAATCCAAAATAAATATTGTGGGAAATAAATTAGAGAGATGAGTTGTGGATATTTAAATAATGGATGAGTGTTATATAAGCTTCCCGGTAGGCTCAGCTGATTTAGATCACAGCTAATGAAGTTAAATCACAAGTTTCAAGCCACACAAGCAGGTTAGCTGGGGCTGTTTGAAGGTCACATACATTATATCCTTATTGTTTGTTTTGTAGGAAACATGTCAAAATAATTTGTTACATTAACTAACGTTTTTTCCAGTTAAAATGTGAACTAGGTTGCTGGTCACGAAATGATAGTGCTATATTCTTCCTTCCTATATAGTGCTAAAATTATGTGCCAAAGCCCAGTGGTCTGGTTCTATATGGCAGATCTCTCCTAATCACCGTCACGCATATACAAGAAAGTCTGAATTAAACAGTATGTAAAACAAAGAATCATCTTATCAGAGCACGTGTTTTTACATTCTAAATGTTGTAATCTTTCTGTATTCCCAAACTGTGGGCTACCACGAAAATGCTATGTTATATTATCTAATAAAAGAAAAAAGGATTGCAGTTTGATCTTAGGAAACTGAATTTTACTTGAAACAGAAAGAAAAAGTTTTTATTGTTGAAATGCATGCGAATGATTTTAGAAAAAGCAAAAGCCAACACTGCTGAGGTTAGATCTATGCAGTTTTCATGCATCACACTCCATTTTACCGAGATCTATGCTTGTAAGTCACGGGGCCATTTTGCCGTTTCTTTGGTGGCCAGACAAGGGGTGACCTGCATATACGCACAGTTAGACAAATGCAAGTGAAAATAATGATTTAGAGAGCTGGAGAATGAGGTAGAGAAATACTCGAATTCCAACATATGAAAAATGAAAGAGAAACAAATGCTGTCCAGCATTCTAAGGAAGGTCTGGAAATGACTGGTACCAATATGGTGCTGCAGTTGTGAAAGTACACCCTGATTACACTTAAAACATAAATATGGGCTTGGCCTGAAGATGTTTATTAAAAATACTCCAGCATTCTGCAGACGGTGTGACTTACGCTGAGGCAGACTGTGAGGGCTTCATGGACGCTGACCCACAGTCACTAGCATTGTGGGGCAACTTGGGGGATGCTGGAAGGGACGAATCTGTAAGCTCCTCAATGTCCGAATGTGAGGAAGGAGGCTTGGTGGACTTTTTCTTCCCAAAGGCTTGTTTGAATGAGCTTCTCAGCTGAAAGAAGGAGAGAAATTACCTTAGTCTATTTGCACGTGGGGAGCTTTTGCTTTGGGGAGTTAGTTTGCAGGTGCCATCCTAGCCACTGCCTGGGGTCAGTAGATATAAGCAGAGTATTAACAGTTGCAGCACAGTATCTCTAAAACAAATGATACTGTGTTTTGTGGGTTTTGTTTTATTCTTGTATTAATCCAGCACAGCGCAAACATGAGAGGCTTTTAAATAGCGCAGGGTCAAGGGCACAGCTGTCAGAGCACTCATTTAAAACTAAGTACATTGAAGGGATCTCCATTCCCAAGGCTTCCCCCTTCAAGGCAATTTGTTTTAAATGGCCACTTTAGGGCTACAATCAAGTCATGTTCTGCTGACAGCATAAACTTAAAAGCAAAATGAGAGCAAATTCACCTAACACTACATTAATTGTGATTTTCTATTCAAATTTCCAGTCCCCAGACTATTCAAAATCAGAATTGGTAACCCCTATGGCTCTATTCAAAATTTGACATTAAAATGAAAAGGCACAAAGACAAGACATACAAGGTAATCTGTTTTTAAAAGGTATAAAAGCCTACTGCCATAATGAATAGCATTCATGCCAAGGTAGGTTTTTTTTTTATTTTTTTATTTTTAGATAGATGCATGCCAAATTGTCCACAGTTTATATTCACCTCACTTCCTCTAGAGTTCACCTTGCAGAAACATGAAAAGAGTGTGGAATTACAAATCAAGGGAATGAAGGCTGGTTAGTGTTTGAAAATATCACCTGCATAAACATTTTGTTTAAAACAAAAAAAAAGAAGATATTTCTTTCATTATATAGAGAAAGCACTCCAGCAATATCCTCTGATAGTTATGTTTTGGGTTTCATAGAGAGTTATTCTTATTTAAAATCTACTTGATTGATGGTATTAAAAGCACTCCTTTAATTCCATTGTTTTTAAACATTTTCCAGTGACAGCATCTTCCCCTCATTAGCGTTTAGCAATTGTTTAATATTATCATAAATTAGATCTCTAGCAAACCTAAGGCACAGTTCTAGTAAAGTATATTTCTATGTTTCCGCTATATCCCCAGGCTGGAAAAAAAAAAAAAAAAGAAAAAGAAAAAAATGAAGCAGACACTAAACTGGTTGATTTCTTATCACTTTGTTCACATCGGAAGCCCTGTTGATGGGGATATCTTCAAGGCTTCTTCTTTCCCTTTCTCCAATTCCAATTCTCCACCTATTCCTCCATTACTACCTCCTCCACCACCACTACCATCACCATCATAATTTTCTTCACCCTCACAATAAACTCTTCCTCTAAGACATTCATTTACATATATTATCTTATTTTTCTTCTCAACACCTGTATAACATCAATACTAATAGCCTATTTTTACAGATGAACAAATTTAGGCCCCCTGAAAAGGTGAAGTAACCTGCCCAAGATCCAAACAGTAAGTGGCAGAGCTGGGATTCAAATCGAAGTTGATTACCAACTCCAAAATATATGCTCTTCAACACAATGCCATGCTGATCTTGGTGATATGTGAAGAATTTGAGGTGCCGGTAATTTGAATGGGACTCTTTATAAACTTCTGCAGATCTCTATAGCCCAAAAGGAAAAATCCTGACTCATTGTGCAATAATAAACTTTTGAATTAGATTAATAACGATGGCTTACCCAATTTTTCTTTTTCTTTTTCTTTGAGTCAGCATCGTTACCACTGCCAATGCTGGAATGACTTGTAGCACTGTTGATACTAGAAACACTTTCAGAGGAATGCTGCCTTCGGATGCGGAGATCTAGCAACAGATAGAGAGTATCACATTTGCTCAGAAAGACTCAATCTGAACAAACAAGACTTTTAGACTTTCTGAGAACAAGTTCTCCAATAAAGGTCAACAAGGCTTTGTACGGACTATTTAGAAGCAGTTTCGGTCTTATAAGTTCAATAAAGTACAAGACTATTTGCTCTCCTTAACTGAGTTACCTGCATTAATATTCAATGGGAATCTGATATAAGTCTGCAGCACTAGTAGTTTAATGAGTTCAGAGTTTTGCCCAAAAATGAAATGCTATGCCCGTGATTTCTACTGAATATCTGAACCAAACAATGCTTCCAAAATGATTTATTCCAAATGATTAGTTCCATGGAGTAGATGGAAACTCATAATAGGATGAGAATTAATTGTGTCTTTTTAATATTTGTGCTTTGAATAAGGTTACCAAAGCCAAATATATTAATTTTCCATTTCATAGAATCATATCACAGTAGAGCCAAAACAAACCTTGGAAGTCATCTAACCAACCACTTCATTTCACAGATGAGGAAATTGAAGTGTGAAGAAGTTTAGTAACGTAACCAAGGTCAAAGAGCCAAAGAGGGGAGGGTTCCTGAGAGAGAATCTGGTTTGTGAATTAAACAGAGGAAATATTTAAGACAGTGCTAGTCTTCCATCGTATCTATAGTCCCTGGCTATGACTTGGAATAGTAATAACAGCAACAATAGCAACAAATGAGAATGATAGGGCTAACTCTTACTCCGTGTTTACTCTGTCCCTAGAGTACCAAATTTTATTGTTAAAGCAAACCACTAAAATGAGTTTAACCACTAAACATAATTTGCCCATTGTCACATAGCTGAAAAATACGGAGCCAACCTCAGAGGTAGGCTGATTCCAACATCTATTGTTCTAAGTGCTAAACCATATGACCCCTCTATAATTTACAAAGCATGTAGTGCTTCTCCAGTTATACAAGATATTTTGAAAATGATATTATTTGATATTTAATCGCTTTTTGAAAGTATCTGTTCACTCCATATAATCCGGTTATGAGTTTTTTCATAGATATTAAAACTTCATTTGAAATTGTATTTACTTACAGTGAACTGTGTTAGTGGAAAACACTAGCAGAATTTAAAAGATTACTTTTATGTCAAGTTTGCATTTCAGCCATTTCTATTACTATAATTAATTGGCATTAGGGTCAAATTAGGCATGCAAAAAATCTTAGCCAACCCTGTAAGATGTCAGAAATTACTATATAGTGTTCAAAGAGTTTCCACAGAAATAACAGTATAAAATCAAAGCCTTTCCAGTTGACTTATTAATAGTAAAATGACCCATGACAATTAAACTGTAACTGGTTACATTCAAACATTAAATGAGTTTATATGTGGGTATGTTATTCTTATATACGTGTGTGTGTGTGTGTGTGTACACACACACACACACACACACACACACACACGTCTTCATAGGAGCCCTGGTAGCACAGTGGTTAAGTGCTCAGCTGGTAACCAAAGGGTTGGCGGTTCAAACCCACCAGCCACTCCACAGCAGAAAGATGTAGCAATCTGCTTCTATAAAGATTTACGGTCCTGGAAACCCTATAGGGTAATTCTACTCTGTCCTATAGGATCACTATGAGTTGGAATCGACTCGATGGCAGTGAGATTTTTTTTTTATATCCTCATATGTATATGAATAGCTGTCCAACTTACTTTCAAACCATTCTACAAATAGAAATTAGGGTTATCTTTTTAAAAGAAAAACTTCATCATCATTCTCTTCTTAGGACCTTTCATTAGATTCCCATTTTACTAAGAATAGAAAAATATTCCAACTCCTAAATAAGTCCTAAAAGTCCTTGAGTAATCTGGTCTCTACTTACCTCTCCAAACTTGTTCTATTTATTTCACCTTTGCTCATTCTCTTCCTTTTATTAGTTCCATAAATGCACTAAACCCTTTTCTGCCTCAAGGTCTTCCTGGAATAGTCCTTCCTCAGTATTTACAATATGACATAACAATTATTCCTTGGGTCTCTCCTTAAATGTCGATATCTCTAGAAGTCCTTCCCTGACTGTGCAACTTCTCGCAGGTTCCCTGGTACCCTCTCTACTGCACCTATTCTTGTACATCTTTGAACTGGAAACTCTTCATGTATGCACGCTCAGCTACATCAACAATCAAACATAATCATTTATTTTCTGTTCTCCCACTAGACTGTAAGATCAACAGAGACAAAGACCCTGTCTATTTGTTTACCATTGTATATCCAGGACCTTGTACAGAGTATGGCATGTTATAGGCAATCAATAAGTACTTATTGAATAAACTTATTCTTTCTTATTATTCATCCAACCCAGCAGTAGTTGCCTAACATTATTTCAAAAACAAGTATTTACTGTTGAAAGTAATTTAATATACATGCTGCCAAACCATACTTGGTATACTTTCAGGAAAAAAAAAAAATCCCCATCTACACACAGATGTAGTAATTTAAAAAGCAATACTACATTTTGAAATAATAAAATTTTCCATTACTTTCATCTTTCAACATTATAATAAGTACATTTTACAAAATAGTTTAAGATTTGTTTACCTTGCTTTTCAGTAGATTGTGAATCCCTTGAGTATGAGGCAGTCTTTTCTGTATTTCAAGATCTAATAGCATGCCTAGCATATAGCAAGTGCTTAGATAATGTTTTTGAATGAATAAATGAATTTGTTCTACTATGGACTGCTCTTATTTATCAGCCTTTGTTAATAAATGTGATACATAAATATAGAGAAAATACACAGATACTTAAATAAATTGGAGTCCCTAAGTGGTGCAAATGGTTAGCACACTTGGCTGCTAACTGAAAGGTTGGAAGTTTGAGTCTGCCCAGAGGTGCCTCAAAACAAAGACCTGGCTATCTACTTCAAAAAAAAGAAAAGCAGCCATTGAAAACCCTATGGAGCATAGTGCTATTCTGACACACAGGGGGTTGTCATGAGTTGGAATTTACTCGACAGCAACTGGTTTTTATTAACAAATTGTTAGGTTATTTTGCCAAGGTTTGATCTGTCTATAAAAGTGCTTGCTGCTTTGCTTGGAATATCTATTTTAAGAACCTACATTAAAAATTTACCTGACATAAATTTTCAGTGGTCCTAAAAACCCAATTTCAATATGATCTTAGAATACAAACATATAGGCTATGCAATCACCTTAATAACCGTGGAAAGATAAATAACTAGGCCAACTGACTGATTATTTTCTCAACGTAATATCAATGGTCAGTGAAATAAAAATCACTTCTGGTTCACTGAATTGAATACTTGAGCTTTAATACTACAGAAACACAATCTAAATACCTGTGCACATTTAACCCTTTATAACTAATTGCTTTTATTAGTTTTAAAATCTTGGCAAATTATTTTTTAATCTTTCTTAACAAATCTGAATATTAACTGTTGTTATTTTGCTCATTTTAGGTACTCCCTCCCATATTTCTGAGCAAAGGAATTTCTGTTTTTTAATTCCAGTAGATACATGAAGCTACCTGTTGCCTAAGATAAAAGAAATCCTTCCCAAAAGTTTCATTTCAGTGACTTGTGCTGTGTTAAAGAAAGGATTAAGCCTTTTTAAATCCCTTCTGGACCTATTTACGACATAAAGGTTTAGAACATAAGCTGCTTTATTATAGCTCTAAGATAAGCTGTAAATATGCAGTAATTTTCCATGCTGCATATAAATCAACTCCCCCGCATTGAAAGTTGCTAAACTGTTAATAGAAGTAGCCCCTAGGGAACTAGTTTGTCCTTCAAGTTAAGTATATCTCACTTTATACAGTAATTTTTCCAAAAGTTAAGTTAAATAATTTTTTTAATTTATATTTTTTCCTACAAAATTTTATTAAGCTCTTTTTATGTGCATCATTGTGGGTACTAGAATTAAAGAAAATAAACCACCTGATCATCAAATAGGAAAGACATAAATGAAGGCAACAACATATAAATTTTCATAGGGGAAGTACAGCTATCTCCAGAAACATGTAACAGGAGGATCTCATTCCATTCAGGGGTCAAAAAGACAGATTTAAGCAGACTCCTGCAGAATCTAAAAAAGGTTTTTTTTTTTAAATCCTGAGCAAATAGGACAGAATGTTCCAGGTAGAATAAACTAAGTCAACAGAATGTGTGAAGAACCTCTGGAAAATTGAAAGAAGTTCAGCGTAGCTGAAATATGGTATATTGAATATGACAGAAGAGCAACTGCTAAGGTCTAGAAGAGTGTCTGGCACATAATTGGTAATCAGTGTATATATCTGTTGAATACAAAAGGCTGATGAAGAAAGATTATGTCATGGTATGGAGTTGTGTTTCATTCTAAATGCAACAGGATGCCTGCAGATATATATTTTTAGACAATTGCTCTGGTTTCTGTGTGAACAATGATGTGTGGTGGGGTAAGATCAACAGCAGGAAGGTAATTTAGGAGGTCATGATCACTGTGATCACAGTTCACAGGAAATATGAGGGATGGCAATAGAAGGCACAGAGAAAAGTGAACATATTTAAGAGATATTTTAAGGGGAAGAATCAAAATAATTTGATGATTTATTGACCCAAGAGAGGAGGAGTCATGAAAGACACCTAGATTTCTGGCTATACGGAAGGACGGTGATGCCATTTACTGAGACATGGAATACTGAAGGAGAAGTAGGTCTGAGAGGGCAGATGCCAAGTTCGAGTTTGAAGATGTTGAGTTCAAGATGCCAAACGGACATTCAAAGATATCCAAATAGAGTTCTCTATCTGGCAATTCTATATACAGATCTGTAACTCAAATGATGAGCCTGACCTCCAGATGGGATTTGACAGTTATCAGCATATAAATGATAACTACAGATAGAGTACTAGATGAATTTTTATAGAATTTTAGATAGGATGTATAAACCCGTTGCCAACGAGTTGAATCCGACTCATAGCGACCCCATAGGACAGAGCAGAACTGTCCCATAGAGTTTCCAAGCAGTGGCTGGTGGATTGGAACTGACCTTTTGGTTAGCAGCCCAGTGCTTAACTGCTGTGCCACCAGGGCTCCAATAGGATGTAAGAACCATGATATACAGGATCACAATGGAAGAGAGCTTAGGACTGAGTCCTAAGGAATATCAATAATTAATGAATGGATATAAAAGGGTGAACCTACAAAAGAAACTTGAAAAAGATACTTCAAAGGGGCAGAATAAAAATACAGAATATGTGATATTATAAACATTAAAAGGAAAGAATGTTTTAAGTAGGAGGGACCCTGGGTCTAGGTCATATAGGTAATTATTGATCCTGGAGAGAGTAGTTCTGATAGAGTTGTGGGAAGAGAAGTCAGACTCCAATGGGATAAAAGGTATTTGGTAGCTAAAAACATTGCAAAATCCCATAAAAATTACCAGGATTTACCTGGAAATAGGAACAGAGCTAATAGGACATTCAGGATTTAGGTAGCAATTTTTAAGCTGGGAAAATTGAGCATACTGAATGCTATTGAAAAGAATCAGGGTATGAATTACACATAAAGAAAAAATGACATAACATTCTTTTGTAAAGAGCATTACTTGAGTGACAAACCAAGAGATGGGAGGTGGTGGCAAAGAGGAGTATTTTATCATTGTTTAGAATTGCTGGAGTATAGTGATAATAATAGCACGCCAACTTTTAGTCATCTATTTTATTGTTTTTAAATTTTCTAACAGAAATGTACCCTTTTTATTGCCCCCACCTAGAATGAGTCGCTCCTCATGCCCACTACTTTGTACATCACAACACTGATTATTTTACTTTTGTACACCACAGATGTGGATTTTCATACTTCTCACTGGGTTTGTTTTGCATGAAGTCAGATATGCTTGTATTAACCAACCTCCCTATTAATATTTTCGCCAAAGCAAGTGAAGAGAAATGCATGTACAACTGTAAAAGCAAATTCTGTAAGTTCAATTTAAAAATTATTTGCTAATCAAAGATGCTCTTCTCAAATTCTGGGATTCTGACCACATTAATACCAACTGACTCATTATAAAAGGCAGTATTACTGAGTAAAAGCAGCTTTACTGTAATTAATGAATAAAATAGATACCTATTATATCAATGAAAAATGGCAATACTTCTAAACATACCTTTGGGGGGGTGGTCTGGACCATTCAGTGCTCCCTGAATGGCCGCCTGGGCAGCAGAGTTCTGGGCCTTAAGCATTTCAATGGTTTCTCTTAGTTCTATAAGTTCAGACTCCTGTGGAACAAACACAGTTTGGAAGCTTTAATACCTAAAGGGAAAAATAAAATGCCCTTGTTCATAATCCTCTATCAAATTGGTTTGGTTTTATGTAGCAGTAACCCCATGGGAATCTTAATGCTTGGATGACTTCATCAAGTTTTATGTAACAATTTCTTGCTTAGCTAAAGAACTACCCCCCTCCGTCCCAACTTCTTGATTATTCTCTCATAAATGTGATCTGAATTGCCTTTATTCTTTCAATGGGTGGTAGAGCTGACCAGTACAAACTAAAGCAAAATATCACATCTCTCATTTAGGTACTAAACTGATTAATATTGCCTATGATTACATTGGAGCCCTGGTGGCGCAGTGGTTAAGTGCTACAACTGCTAACCAAAAAGTCAGCAGTTGAATCCTACAGCCGCTCCCTGGAAACCCTATGGGGCAGTTCTACTCTCTCCTGTAGGGTTGACTCTAGGCAACAGGTTTTGGTACTTAAATAAGAGTTAAATTATCGAAACAAAGGTAGTTTATCAGTCCACTTTTTATTAAAAAATACTACATTTTCTTATTGAATTTAGAGTAATTTTAACATATGTCCCAATGAAAAACATTAGTATAAAGTTGACCCTTTACAGTTATTTGTTAAGTGAATTATATCACCAGAAATGAGGCATTATGAGGAAGACAGTATACCCCACCCCCTCAAAAAAAATAATAATAAAATAAAGCAGAACTAGAACAACCAGAATGGAAATAATGAGAATGTTCACGCATTGAAAAGAATGTAATCAATGTCACTGAATAATTTGTGTAGAAATTGTTGAATGGTAACCTAAACTGCGGCATAAACCTTCACCAAAAACACAATAAAATATAATTTAAATAAATAAAAGGGAATTGGAGATCTATTTCAGGTTTCCATCAGAAGCCCAATAACAAGGGTTATCCTTAGTAGTGATGGCAATCCCAAAAATTATATCATTTTCTGCATCTTATAGGAAAAATTTCTTGGTAATGTAGTTAGCATTAATCACCTTCTCTACCATCTTTGGCAGAAAAGCCAAAGAATCAGGCTTGAGTTTTTCACTCCATGAAAATTAGTTTATCCCCACTCAATGCTCTCCAGAATACATGAAAAAGGCAACAATTACTGACAACTGCCTTTTCAGGGAACTGCTTCAAACATGGGAATGTTCAGCGACTATTCTAACCTCAGATACTTTAAAAACAAACAAAAAAAGATGATTCTAATTGAAATGATATCCAAGTTCGGAGTCAACATCTAGCGCTTACCGATTTTCACTGGCATATTCCTGATAGAGAACAGTTAGTTTTTTGTTTTGTTTTTGTTTTTTTAACAAACTCTCTGATAGACTTTTAATTGCTTGTAAGTCAAAGAATCTCATAATGAAAAATCAATAGCAACCTCCTGGATTTGTAGATGAGTCTTCAAATACTTGACTGTAATTTCATTTGCATTTACTTATCATAAAGGAAAAAGATGATAAATTTCCACTACCATGCCACAAAATTCAGACCCAATTCATCATTCATCTTCAATTTCTCCATATTCTATTTTCTGTCTTTTGCCCAACTAGTAATAGATAAATTTACCAAAATTTAAAATGTTTTTCCATTTAAAATAAAACTCCCAAGAAGTAAAATATTTACTGGAAATTAATTCTGCTTTTACCAGAAATGTATTCACAACAATGACACCTATGGTACATATTTAATGAATCACACAATTTAAATGTTAATTTTATAACATATACATTAGAATACATGTTAAATTTTAACTAAGGTCAGATTTTTATTCTTGAATTTAAAATAAAAAAAGTTTGTACTTTGGATTTCACTTTAAAGGAGAAAATGGAAATGAGAAAGTCTAGCACAAATGTCTAAAAGAGTTGAAATTAATTTTATGAGTTAGTGGACTTATTTCCGTGTCAAAACTTTAATCTTTTCTAGATAAATCTCTTTTGGAAACAATTCCTGAAAGATAAAAGTAGACTATTCAAGAAATGTTGCTTTTTCAGATAATTGTGTTTCCTATGACATAACAGAATGGTTACTTTCTAAAACTAAGTATAGTTTTATAAACAACAGCTATTAACAAGTTAGTTGTTACTCAGTATGATGCAATAAACTCAAAAGAAGAATAACTAGGTAAGAAATATATTCATTACATAACATGGGAAAATCACACCTATGAAAAAATTAGTTTAGCCAAATTCATATTAGCAATTCTATAGTGGGACTTTATAAGTCTAAGCAAGCATGTATGAAATGTTCCAATCATCTTTAATTAAAAAGATACTAAATTCTTCATTGACATAATCTTTTCAAACCTGAACTAATTATCTCTCCATAGCTGCAAAAATTCCTTCCTTATTTCTTATTTCAGTTAATGAGATTTGCCCTCACCTTGACATTCAAGCTAGAACCATGTCTTTTCTCAGAGACTTTGCATATGATTTTCCCTTTGCTTTAAATAATCTCTCCGTAAAGGCCATACTGAAATGCCTCCATACATGTGAAACCGTTTAGTTACACCCACAGGATAAATCAAATGGTCCCTTTCTTTATGCTTCCAGATCATTTAATGCATTTGGTTTACTTAGTGGTTGAAATGTTTTCTGTTGATTTATTATCTCAGTAAATGTTGGGATGATTTTGCTGATATGTTGTGGTCTGTGCAAATCAGGTGTTTCTCCCCTTCAAATGATAATGTAAAACCTCAACTTTACTACATACAATTTTATATACAAAAGGGTGCTTGATCACCTGGTGAGTAGGGTGTCATATAAAATGTCAATAACTTTATTATTCATTACAAACAAAAAAGTCGCAGTATAGTTAATCCGTGGAATCTCCTTTGGATGGTACCAAAAGCAGTTTTCCTTTCCTTCTTTTTCAATAATATTATACAGATGAATTTAAAGCATTTTAAAATAAAAATGCTGCTGAAATACAGGAATTTAGGAATTGTTTTTCTGTAGTTTATTTCTAGCCTTCTTTTTTCCCTTCATAATCATAATTAGTTGTTCACATTTATTTTTCTAAGCTATACTTTTCTAAGATTCTATACAGCATGGAAACCGAAATGTTGCTCCCAGGCACACAACTACGAATTCCTTTTTTTTTTTGAGGGGGGTGGGGTAAAGGATGGGGAGTGTAGATTGGGGGAAATATGATTGGAAACAATTTCCAGAGTTAACTGAATACAGAATTATTAGATAATCTGAAATAATATCATATTGTCTCTTTCTTTTGCAAAGTGGCCTAATAGAAGATATTTAATAAGCTTTGGGAATTCCTTTTTAGCCTTTAAAAAATCTGGGAAAAATGTTAGAAGAAACAGATCTAAAGTTTACTCTCCCAGTTCAGTACTCAATCTCCTACTCTCGTCATTAAACACCAAAGAGAAAATTAGGGCTGGAATAATTCCACAAAGGGTCTTGGCACTAAAATATTCAGATCATATTTTTGTTGATGCTTTCCACTTCTTAAAAATTATATTTTAAAATGTAAGGACCAAACTAAAATTTAATTTCTCTCCAATCAGACATTCAAGATTACAGTGCTCCAATACCTGATAACCATGTAAGACTCTAGTTTTCCATGAAAGAATTTCTTGTGTAAAAGGAGCTGGATAGGATTCATGTCTCTGAGGCTAAACAAGAATTTTAGGTTTGAAATGCTTCAAAATAAAATGATCAAATACTGAGTTTTAATATCAGACTTCCTAGGCATTCTTTCCAATCTAATTTCATAATTATATCTGACCTATTTCCAAATTTCTCCTGGGCATAGGCCTGACTGAGAATCCCAGCACTGGAGCTTGGTGGCAAATCTTGACAATCAACTTGACCTTCTATGCAAGGCTCTTAAAAAATTCCACTAAATTTGTCTATTGCTTCCTCACATTGACACTCAGTTAATCTTATACTACTCAGTTGTGGTTTCTTTGAACACTCTCCCCACCCCACCACTACTGTGTATTTGCCTTGAAATCTTGTGAATTTTGAACCTGGCAAGCTCTGCTCCATCACCATTCAGATGAACTAAATTCACCAAATCTCAGTACTGTAAACAATTTGGAAATTATGATATCATATTATTCTATGCCCTAAAAGGTTAATGGATGTGTTTTCTATGACTCTGTTGCTGTTGTTGTTAGGTGCCATCAAGTCAGTTCTGACTCATAGCAACCCTATGTACAAAAGAACAAAATACTGCGTGGTCCTGTGCCATCCTCGCAATCTTTGCTATGCTTGACCAGTGTTGCAGCCACTGTGTCAATCCAAATTGTTGAGAGTCTTATTCTTTTTCGCTGACCCTCCACTTTACCAAGCATGATGCCCTTCTCCAGAGACTGGTCCTCCTGATAACACGTCCAAAGTATGTGAGATGAAGTCTCACCACCCGTGCTTTTAAGAAGCATTCTGGCTATACTTCTTCCAAGACAGACTTGTTGGTTCTTCTGGCAGTCCATGGTATAGTCAATATTCTCCACCAACATCATAATCCCAAGACATCTATTCTTTTTCAGTCTTTCTTATTATATATACACTCTTCTTGTTCATTACTTTATTCCCAAAAGCTAGTACAGTGTCTTGTACACAGTAGGCATTCAATATAAATTTAATGAATGACTAAATGTATAAATGAACCTTGGAACTCCAGGAACATAGTTTGAAAACCTCTGCTCTAGATCTTCAAGTTTTTTCCCAGGACTGTTGGATCACTGGAGAGCAATATACCCTTCTATCTCAGCTCCACGAAGAAATGCCTTTACTGAAATATGCTTAAATGTTATGCTCTCAGCTTTTAGAGAAATGTCTATTTCAGCAGCGATTTTATAATTTGTTATCCCATGACCCCAATTTAAGAATACTTGCAGTAAATTCCGCCTCAAATTCAGTGCCAAAAATTTTGTCTCTTCAATCTAAACTACGCTCTTATAGTCATAAAACGAGAACAGAACTTGCCAAGCAATCTCCCTTTGTGCATTAGCTTCCTTGAACTGAATTCAGTTCAGTGCTTTGTGGCAGTGATTATCTGGACTCAAGCATCCTGTTACGTTCATTCCTCTACTCCTTTTTGTTAGATTCTGTCATTTTTATTTGAATTGTGCCACATTATATTGTGATTTATTTTATTAAAAAAAAAAAAAAAACCCTGTTGCCGTCAACTCAATTCCAACTTAAAGTGACCCTATAGGACAGAGTAAAACTGTTCCATAGGGTTTCCAAGGCTCTAAATGTTTATAGAAGCAGACTGCCACATCTTTCTCCCTTGGAGTAGCTGATGGGTTCGAACCTCCAACCTTCCAGTTAGCAGCCAAACGCTTAACCACTATACCACCAGGGCTCCGGGCAAGTTTTAAATATCAGATTAATAAAATACCTATCAACATTGTTGTCTGTGTACAGCTTGCAGTTAGAAGATGAATCATTTCGTTTTCAGGTAAAGGTGGAGCACAGGGGATTTTCAGGGCAGTGAAACTATTTTGTATGATACTATAGTGGTAGATATATGACATTATACATTTTTCAAAATCCATTGAACTCTACAACACAGTGAACCCTAATGTAAACTATGGACTTTAGTTAGTAATAATTTATCAATATTGATTTATCAGTTGTGACAAATGTACCACATCAACACAAAATGTTAATAATCAGGGAAACTGTGGGCAGAGGGTGGGGGAGAGAAGGAATATATGTGAACTCTGTATTTTCTGCTCAATTTTTCTATAAACCTAAACTCCTAAAAATAAAGGATATTAATTTAAAAAATGGCAAGGGCAATTTCAAATATCATGATATCTTCTGAGAACACTGAATAATTTCAGCAATGCTATTTTAAGGACAGTGAACACAATGATAAAACTCCTTGAATTATGGAGATGTATTTTTAAATAGTCAGGCATTATTCTTGGATATAATAAATTACCATACTTGTATATTTTTCCAGCATCTATGATAAAATTTACTTGAAAATATAAAAGAATTGAGGGAAATATTAAAAGGCAAAAAAAAAAATCCATTAATTTTGTCTTCTTAAAAATATTATGGCTTAAATACTAACCCTATTTTCCAGCAATATACTTGGAATATGCCTACTGATGAATTTGGTTTATCTTATATTTTTCAGAGGAAGGAAAGAGAGAAACATGAAGGAAAATACAGTTGTTGATTTCTTACTGTATGTCACATTACCATAGCATCTCAATCCTTATAATAATCCTAAAAGATAGTTATTAAAATCCCATTTACAAAATAATGAATTTGAAGTTCAGAAGAGGTTACATAAACACATCCAAGGCTACACAGCTCTTAAGAGACACAGTCAGCATTCACCCTCAGGCCTACTGAGCATCAAGGTTTACAGTCTTTCCTATCTAACTGCCCTAAAAGGCCTTGTAGTCCTCTCTGCTGGATTCTGAAGTTACATTGTGAAGTGGCAAACTATAACTACCCCTCTCCCCCAAAGAAAAAGAAAAAAATTCCGATAAAATTTCTGAGTTCAAAGGGAGCTTGCCAGCTGCCCTTCCAGAACAGGTTTGACAGGGATGGAAGGTGTTCTCTTTCACAGACAGGGGAAATTTATGCAAAAGAGTGGCAGATAAGGCGAAAATGGAATACCGTTTGCTAGTTATACCAGGTAATTACAGGAATATTACATTTTCACTTATGATTTAACTGGACTGTTCATTCAGTTTTTAAAGAACTTGGTTTTTTTTTTGTTTGTTTGTTTTTAATAGTGAATTGACCACATTTGGTTGTACATGCTAGTTCTGTAAAGCTAATAACATATCTTATAGAAGCTAAAGACAAAATTAAAGCCATCCCTGATGGATACCTACAGTAATTGATTTTGAGAGTATCTAAAACTTCTTAGATTATGGATCCTTTTGAGAATAAGACAAAAACTGGGAGACTCTGTTCAAATTATGCATATATGCAGTTTTAACAAAAATGTTCATACAACTTCAGAAGCTTCACCTGTCTCTGATATTCATCCAAGGACCTAGGTTCAAAAAACCAAACCAAACTGCTTGCCATCGAGTCACTTCCAACTCATAGCAACCCTATTGGGCAGAGTAGAACTGCCCCATAATGTTTTCAGGGAGCAGCTGGTTTGGATTCAAACCACCAACCTTTTTGGTTAGCAGCCGAGCTCTTAACCACTGCACCAAGTTAAGATCACCTAAGCTAAGAGCAGAGAAGTAAGTTACTAGCCATTATAAGGAAAGTGATCCGATTCTTTCCAGGCAGCCTGGACCTTAGATACATCAGTTTTTGTGAACTAAATTCTTTGTTCCTTATATTTTAGTATTCCATAAAATTCTTGTTTTATTTTAAAACTTTTGATTTAACTTAAATAACTTCACTTCAAAGGCAGCATGTTCCAGATGCCAACTAGTCCTCACTGACTTCAAAATTACACAGGATTTTCTCTTGTTTCATAGCTGCTGTAACCTAAAGCGCCTTACTTGTAGAGTCTTAATATTCATTCCAGACATCCTTCCTGGGTCTCTCAGCCTATAACCATGGACTATTACTGGGCTTATAGACTGTGCATTTATGAACATTCTCGTTAGGGTGCAATTCTTGTCAACTGCATAACAAATTGCTCCGAGAATATTTTAACTTTTCTCCTATACAACTGTCTCTCTTTCTTAACATTTGGTATTCTTTTAATAGTTCAATCCAACGGAAGTAAAATAATAGACTGCATAGAAAGAACCGTGTGTGTGTGTGTGTGTGTGTGTGTGTGTGTGTGTGTGTGTGTGTGTGTATTTTCCGATGTGGATTAATCTGAATCCTAAATTCTTTAATTAAAATCTGAAACAAGGTATTACCTCCTCATTGTTCTGATTTAGTATAAAATGAATGCTCTGTAGTACTGTCTTTAAGGAGCTGTACCTCAGCAATTGTTTAAATATCCTGTGCAACCTGCTGTCTTTTTTCAACCCCAGTAGCAATCCCTGCACATACCTTCTGTTCAGCTGTCATGGTTAGACTTTGCAACCGGCCAGTCATATTCCCTAAACTCTTCTCAAAAGCTGCTACAAGGTGAGCCTGTGAACAAAAGAGAAGAGACACATTTTAAATGTCAGAATCTTATTTGGATGGCTGAAAACCTTCATTCTACAAAATGCTTAATTTCAAACATTCCAACTCTTTAAATACTATGACCATCATCATTAGCTCTTGATGGTGACTACGCTTAACACAAATCTTCATTTATCATTCCTAAACTTTGACTTTTTAAAATCAGTGTTTTAGTCTCTTGACATTTGAGTTCAACTGCTGAGAGGGGATGGTATTTTGCAAATAATAACACCTTCTGATTTGTACATCATGAAGGGATTTGACACTCAAAATACTGAATAAAGTTCTGAGTTGCCAAGTCTTTAGGCTTAACACTCAAGAAGAGGTCACTGAAATAGTCAATGGATAAATGTACTCATTTTTATATTCCCATGATAACCTTTGAAGATATTGTTAGCTCCTCTATTGTAATGATACTCTCCTTCAAGTGTCAGACATCTGCTGACAGCTTTAACATTACCTTTCCTCTTTTTCTACTTAGAAAGAACTGAATTGAAAAGAGTTGTCTTCGCTTTCCACATTCTTTTCAATACAAGGGCTTTTCTTTCTACTTTATTCATTTCAACTAAGGATGTACAGGTAGGTCAGCTAGAAATAAGATTCAGTCATATTTTATTTAACATCAAGCTTTTGTGGTTTTATTTTAAATTTCATAAAATTATATATATTGCAGTATATATCCATAACTAACTCTTATGATTATAAAGTGTTTTACAATCTTATTACAGCTCTGACATAGGCCAATTTCTATTGACATATCATTATGTAACATAGCTTGAGCCAGAAAACATTAAGTATGATGAGGTGCTTCCACCTCTCACTATGGCTTGCGGTAGAACTACAAATACATTATCTCAAACTGATATCATTTTATTGGCCCCTTAAAGAAATTAGGATCAAATATTTCACAACCTACATCTCTAATGAATTATATAAGGGGTAAAATTTGGCAATCTTTGGCAAAAGATTGATTTTTGGAGAGAAGTGAGTGTGAGGACTCTAACTCTCAGTAGCTCTAGCAGAGCTGAAAGGCTGAGGTACCTACTATCAAATGGATCACAAGAGTCCTATTAGAGCACTAGAAGTTTATCCCATTAGAGGTGACATCTAGAATGTACGAGTTCCTTCCACTAGCATCATGATACAAAGCTATCTTTGTTTCTGTTGTTGTTAGGTGCCATCGAGTCAGTTCTGACTCACAGCCACCCTATGTATAACAGAATGAAACACTGCCCAGTCCTGCACCATCCTCACAGTCATTGCTATGTTTGAGCCCATTATTGCAGCCACTGTCAGTCCATCTCTTTGAGTGTCTTCCTCTTTTTCACTCACCCTCTACTTTACTAATCTTTGTTCTTAACTCTGAACTTAGGCAGAGCTGCCTTTCTTTACCTGATACTGCAATATGGAGAAGCAGTTTGTATAGAATAATTCTGCTTATCTTCAGTCCATCAATACAACTCCTTTCTCTCTCTTTCTCTGTCTCTCTTTCCCATATACATACACATATACTCTCACTCTCACACAAATATACTACCTTAAAAATTATACACCAATATTTGTCAGCAGATTTAACTAGATAAATAACACTCTAAGAAAAGAAAAAGAGGAACAGTATTTTATACTTTAAAATTTTCTCAATAACAAGGAATGTTATTACATCAGACGACATAGTATCCTTAGAAATTAGTGTAAAGCTATGCCCCCTTTCTCTTATATTTTAACATTTTTTAATTGTGACAAAACATATATATATAAAAGTGAGCAAAATGAAAATGAACAGCTCACCGATTTTATCACAAAGTAAACATTCATGCACCCACCAGCCAAGTCAAGATCTAGGACATTTCAAGACCCCAGAAGCCCTCCCTTGTCCCTTCTACATCACTGTCTCCTTTCTCCTCCCCAAAGATAACCACTATTCCTAAACACTATGTTTTAATTTTGTCTAATTTTTAAAACTTTATCCAAGTGTAATTTTATGGCATGACTCTTTTGTGACTTTTTTCTTTTGCTTAACACTATGTTTTTGGGATTCACCTATGTTGTGTGTAGCAGCCGAGCTCTTATGAACAAAATAGCTTTCTCTTAAACAAGAGCCATCACACAAATAGACATATGCTCACCCATGTTCACTGCAGCAATGGTCACAATAGCAAAAACATGGGAACAACCTCGATGCCCATCAACAGATGAATGGATAAACACACTGTGGTATATACACATAATGGAGTACTACACAACGATAAAGAACAATGATGAATCTCCGAAGCATCTCACAACATGAATGAACCTGGAGGGCTTTATGCTGAGTGAAGTAAGTCAATCACGAAAGGGCAAATATTGTATGAGACCACTACTATAAAAACTCATGAAAAGGTTTACACACAAAAGGAAACAATCTTTGATGGTTATGAGGGAGGGGAGGAGTGGGGAATGGAAGAACACTAAATAGACAATAGATAACTAGTAACTTTGGTGCAGGCTAAGACAGTACACAATACTGGGAAGCCAGCAGAACTTGTCCAAGGCAAGGTCAAGGAAGCTCCAGGGACACATCCAAACTCCCTGAGGGACCAAATTACTGGGCTGAGG